ATACACTAGTAGATATATATATATATAGATATATATAATTCCACCCAGCCAGTCAACTCTCCCACCCGCATTTATTTTTTGTAAAGTGCGCAATTCTTTTGCCATTTAAAACCAAACCCTAAATTCCAAAAAAATCACCAGCACAAATTAAAGGTGAGTTTAAGATTCTTTTTATTAATGTGCCATTTTTTTGCACCGGCGATTTTTAAATTAATTTTTTGCTCCCCCATTTCCAATACTTTGCTACGTTTCGTATTTTTTCATTATTGCAGAAAGTAGGGGGCCAAAAGAAAAAAGTATGCGAATAAAAAAACCTAAAGCTGCTGTTTCTGCTGTTGCTGCTGCTGCAAAAGCCAGCCAACACCAACTGGTTTTTGTTTGCGGCGCTGTTCTTGCGTCTCTCTTGCCTCGTCTTGTTGTTGCGGCTGCTGTATTTGTTGTGGCTGCGCTTCCAGCATTCCCATTTCCATTCATTGCAAATGTTCAGATAGTGTATGCGGGAGGGGTAGAGCCAGAGGCGAGACACGGGAGGAGAGCTGAGCTCCTCTTTAACATTTGTTATAAATTATTTATTGCGACGCTGGCCACTCCGTTAGTTCTTTATTTTTTGCTCAACATTTTTACCAATCTATTTGAGCAGCTGTTAAGTCGACGGCCTTAAGCTTCTTTGTTATTTTTTCGCTAGTTTCTTTTTTCGTTTTTTTTTTTTTTTTTTTTGGTGTGTCAGAGCTTTGCCGGCCGGCTTTTTTCGTTTTTTGGCGTCTGTTTTATGTTTGCCTGTGTATCTATGTGCGTGTGAGTCTGAGTCTCTGTGTATGTGTGTGTGTGCATGTCTGCAACGGCTGCTGCTTGGGCGGGGCGTTTGACGCTGTTAAATATCCTCCCCACAATATGTGCTTGCGACTTGCGCGTGCTCACATACACGCACAAAAGCACACACATACATATGAATGTAAATCTATACACATTGCATGTACACATGTACATGTATATGCGTAAGTCTGCAGCTGTGCATTTAAGCTGCATTCCCTGCTTAAAATTTGTATGTGAGCCTGTGTATGTGTTGCTCGTCGGAAATTTATCTTGAGCGAGGGCGTGGCGCACGTATGATGCTATCGATAATACTTAATTGACGTTTAATTTATCGCTAAAGCAAAAAAAGAAAAAATGCAAAATGTATTTAAAATGAAATAACGCAAGGCAACACATTTACACACATATACAAGCAGCCATACATTCATACAGCGAATGACTAAACTGCGGTGCTGCTATGCATATTTAAAATTCACTTAATGTCGCGAGCGCATATGTACACACATACACACACACACTGAAACGCACATATTTAAATTTATGTACCAACTGACAGACGTGCACTGCATGTATGCATGTGCGTGTGTATGTGTGGGCATAACAGGAGCTAGCGCAGGCTGTCTGCTGACTAAGGCGAGGGTGTAAAACGGACGTGTCTGTCATTTGCCTTCCTTCTTTTGTTCTTTTACATTTTCTGCTTTCGCCTCACTGGCTGTTCATACATATATACACATGTACATATGTATGCATATAACGCCGCCTCCGCCGCCACGCATCAGCGACATCGACGCCGCCGGCTTTAATACTCCAGCGGCGTTTTTTTTTTCGACGATGCTTTCAAATGTCAAAATTGGCCTAACGGCGAATTGGCGGTTAGCTGGCGCCGGCCAAATGACCCCCACACTTCCAGAGACATCTGCTCATCCGCTCCAATCAGCGCACACAGCACCATAAACCCCGAAAACAAGATATAAAAATTAACAAAACAAAAGACACTTCCAACTGAAGCGAAGTTTGAATAACTCTCCCCATTCGCCGCCACAAGAGAGTGGCGAGTGCAGAGTGAAAAAAAAAAAAAAAAGAGAGAGCGTGCGTCAAGTGTGGGCTGGGACAAAAGCAACAAAGGCAACGGCGACGGCGACTTCGACGACGACGAATAAAATGATTCATCGCAAACCATTATTCGCTTCAAGTTGGAAGTTGATTCATGGCAAACAAGGCGAGAACATGCAAACTTACTCCCCCCAAAAACCCACAAAAATAAAGCGCAACAAAAACAACATAATTCGCCGTATATGTACATAAACGTACGTGTATACATGTGTGTGTGCATGTGTATGCGAGAGAGTTGCAATATTCGCCTTTGTTTGTTTTTGCTTTAAAAAGGAGTTGCTGCTGCTGGGAATGACTAAACGCTGCGACGGCCGACAGCCGTTAGTCAATCAGCGTCTATCGGCCAGGGGCGAATTGCGTTTAGGCGCGCCTTAATATGTCCATATATGGTCAATAAAAATACAGACGACTATTAAGCGTAGATTTATTTCTATATATACTTTTCTATTTTGGCGCGGTTGCCGCCCTTGTAACGGTTGCTTGTGCAATTCAGATACATATGCACACACATGAACATGCACATGCATTGCATTGCATATGTATGCACTTGTTATCGATATTAATGAAGCGCTTTCTTTATATGTGTGTGCGCAAACAAAATTGGTTAAAGTGTGAGCGAGAGGGCAGATGGTACAGATTGTGTGCTTTTGTGGGGTGTTGAAATCAAATACAACCGACTTTGGCAACGTTGCGATCGATCTATTTCTTATGAAGCTTGAATACTTTTTTGCTTAATGTGTAATATATACATATGTACACACACAGGCTCATACAGACATGTACATACATATGTATGTGTGTCTGTATAATTTTGTTGATTAACTAGAATACGGGCATGAACAATGGACAATGTTTAGCTGGGCACATTTTGGTTGATTTGCAACTAAAAATAAACGTGATAAAATGCAGTTCAGTTATTTTGCTGGCAGCTGAGCGAACGCGCCGACTAACAAAACAAGCACTGATAACGGCACACTTGCCTCCAGTTGCTTGTCCAATTGGAATTTAATCTGCTGCTGTTGCTGCTGCGGTAGGTTCGCTGAACTTCTTGCTCACGCTCATTTTTCCGCTCTCTCTCTCCCTCTCTCCCTCTCTCTCCATATGGCTTGTATTGCTGCTGGTGCTTCGATAGTAAACGCACGCACACAGATGTCTATTTTAGCGGTATGGGTATAGCGTCCTTGCTGTCCAGCATGACTCATTAGCGGGCATGACAAATTCGTATGAGTATGTGTTTGACCTGGGTTGTTACTTTTGTTAATCAATATTCAGCGTAATCGCTCTGAGAAATCGCATAATAAACCCAACGGTAAACAACGGAGTTTCTCAAAACAAACTCAAAGGCACTCACACAGACAGACACACACACTCATACATTATGTACATTTATTATTGGTGCGTGAGTGTGTGCTGTAGGCTTTGTTATCGATGTGCATTTCCGCTGTATCGAACCGCTAGCGATATGTCACTCACCCCTCTGGCAGCTATCGATGATATGCGACTTGTGCAGATAAGAAATAACGTTTTTATGAACATGTATAATTACAGATGGCTGCCCCAGCACCAGCACTCAAGGACTTGCCAAAGGTGGCCGAGAACCTGAAGAGCCAATTGGAGGGCTTCAATACGGAGAAGCTGAAGAATGCCAGCACCCAGGAGAAAATCATTTTGCCAACTGCCGAGGGTAAGTCTTGATTGTTGTTCCTATTCTTACTAATGATTAGCAATAAACATTTTTGCTGCAGATGTGGCTGCCGAGAAGACCCAAAAGTCCATATTCGAGGGCATCACGGCATTCGATCAAAACAATTTGAAGCATACAGAGACCAATGAGAAGAATCCATTGCCCGATAAGGAAGGTGCGTAGAGGGACAGGGAGAGGGAGAGACAACTGGCAAAACCAGCTGTTGGCCATTTAAGGCAATTGCAACTAAAATGTGAACAATTTAACCAACTATTTCTATCTCTATCTTTAGCAATTGAACTGGAGAAGGAGAAGAATCAATTTATCGCCGGCATTGAGAACTTCGATGCGAAAAAATTGAAGCACACCGAAACTAACGAGAAGAACGTGCTGCCAACCAAGGAGGTTATCGAGGCCGAGAAGAAGGCTTAAATTCAGCAACAGAGAAAAAAAATCAACTTTTTTTTTTTGCACCAGCAAACAGACACGCATTCTCTCGCTCTCACACTCAGAAACAACAAATTGTTTTTTTTTTTTCTTTTTTTTTTTTAACATATTTTAGTAATTTTTATGTTTGTTTAAAGTAAAGCAACAACGAAAAAAAACAGCCGCCATCCAAGCAACAACAAAAGTTGTTTTTTATTGTTTTTTTATTGCATAAAAAAAATTTCTTGTCAAATACATTGCAAATAAGCTCATTCCTATTATAATAATAAAATTAAAAAAATAATCAATAATGAAAAAAAAAAACAAGCAAGCAATATACTGATATATGCCACACAAAAAAAACCCCATTTTATATATTCTATGTACTTTTTAAAAGACAGAGAAAAACAAACGAAAAAAAAAAAAGCAAAAATGAGATACAATTTGTAAGCGCAAAAAAAAAAAAGAAAAAGAAAGAAAAAAACACCAACAACAACATAAAGAGTATGTGTAATTTTTTAATGAACTTTTTTTTATATACTTTATATACGATATATTTATACTGGGAAAAAACTAAATAATAATAATAATGCAAAAGCAAAAAAATATAAATGTAACATTTTATAACAAAAACAAAATGATTTCTTATTTCAATTATTTAATTCAAGTCAAAGTATAAAATAGCAGCGACCTAAGTCGATCCTCAAGGAACTCGATCTATAAAAAAATATTGAAACGACTAAGTTTCGGGTTAATTCATATGATGTACAGATTTTGTAGCCAAAAAAACATTTAGAGATTACAGATTAACTTGCTATATCTATAAGAGTTGAGGATCAAATTAGAATCCTTTCTCCCCGTCTAGCTATCTATCGATTTTGGACTTTCCATATAGGTTCTCCTCAAAAAAATCGAATAAGACGTTTACCTGACATCTAGGTCAAACGCAATTGATGAGTAGAAAAAAAAAAACACCTTTTTTTTTACAACTTTAAGAAAAACAGAAAACCAAGAAGGCCTTGAAAAAAAAAAATGAACTTGTGTTATGTTCTTATGTTCAGACTGCTCAACCTTCAGTGCTAAAATTAAAAAAATCCGAAATAGTCGTAAAAAAATCTAAAATAAATTTGTGAAAAAAAAAATAAAATAAAAAAACATTCAAAAAGGCAAAAAATAAGTGAAAATTACGAATTCCGAAAAAAAAAAAAAAAAAAAAAAAAAAAAAAAAAAAAAAAAAAACAAGAATAAATTAATAGAAAACTTAACTTTAATAAAAATGAACGAATTCAATGAAAAAAAGAAAGTCAAAAATGGTGTGGAAAATGACCAAGAATACCAGAAGTTTTTGAAAGAAAGCAAGATGCGGACAGATAGGTTGCGGGAACAGTACAAGCAGTACCTGAACCCAATCGTGAGTCTAGTTTAGTAGCATAATTCTTTACACAAATTCCATTCCGTTTTGCAGTCTCCGGCACAGCCAAGTGATCGCATGTCCGATCACCAGAGGCCGCCGGCGCCTATCATAGAGAAGCACTCCTGCTTGTCAACCAAGACAAAGTTTCCTAGGGGAGAGGAAATAGTCAAGAGCACATCCAGCCAGGCGGTGCTCGATATTCTCGCGAAATATGATAATATTCATGTTCCGCAGCAGTGTCCGTGCGAGACGGTTCCGCAAGGCTGTGATCCGGCACGCAAGAAGCGACGTGGTCCAGGCAGTGCTAAAAACACGGACGTCCAACCAACACATGTATCGTCATATACAAATAATCTTTTGGGCAGTGTCAATAATGCTACGAATCCGCAGGGCGATCCCTCAGTCAAGCCAAAGAAGCCCTATTCAAAGTCGGCGACTAACGCAGCGGGAAACTCATCGGCTAAGGCAGTCGCCGAAGCAGAGGCCGCCCAAGCAGCAGCCGAGGCAGCGGCCAAGGTAGCGACCGAGGCAGCGGTCAAGGCAGCGGCCGCCCAGGCAGCGGCCGAGGCAGCGGCCAAGCGAGCGGCCAAGGTAGCGGCCAAGATAGCCAAGGTAGCAACCCAGGCAGTGGACACTTCAGGGTCCGAATCAAAGTCCGAATCAATTTCCGAATCAGATAGCGAATCAGAGAGTGAATCAAAGAGTGAATCAAAGAGTGAATCGAAGAGTGAATCAGAAAGCGAATCAAAGAGCGAATCAAAGAGCGAATCAGAGAGCGAATCAAAGAGTGAATCAGAAAGCGAATCAAAGAGCGAATCAGAGAGCGAGTCAAAGAGCGAATCAAAGAGCGAATCAGAGAGTACATCAGAGAGCGAATCAGACAGTAAATCAGAGAGCGACACAGATAGCGAAACTGGAGCCGGAACAGGGGCTGAAATAAGGGTCGGAACAGAGGCCGGAACAGAGGCCGGAACAGGGGCAGGAACAGGGGCCGGAACAGGGGCCGGAACAGAGGCCGGAACAGGGGCAGGAACAGATGTCACGTCAAGTGCCGGAACAGGTGTCACGGCAAGTGCCGGAACAGGTGTCACGGCAGAAGCCGGAACGGGTGTCACGACAGGTGCCGGAACAGGGGCTGGAATAGGTGCCGGAACAAGTGCTGGAATAGGTGCCGGAACAGGTGTCACGACAGGTGCCGGAACAGGTGTCACGACAGGTGCCGGATCAGGTGCTGGAGCAGGTGTCACGACAGGTGCCGGATCAGGTGCTGGAACAGGTCCTGGAACAGGTGCTGGAATAGGTGCCGGAACTGAGGCCAACGATAAGAAACCGAACGAAGAGCCACCACGCGCAAAGCGCAAATACGTCCGCAAGGCCCCCCTTAAACCACGCACAACGAAGACACCGGCTCCGAAGCCGGATCCAACAATCATCGAAGATGAAAATATGATTCCATTGGAAGTTAAGCCGCGCAAACCTCGCAAGCCATATGGACCGCGGAAGAACCCCCCCGAGCCAACACCTACTCCTGATGTAACTGGTGCAGCAGCCGCTCCACCGCTTGATCCCCCCCTGGCGCTGCCTGTTACCCCATCCTTACAGCCCTTTAATTCGGCGGCAGCAGACCCCCCCCCTGTGCCATCTACTCTAGCAACACCTGTGTCAACTACACTGGCAACACCTATGACACCTGGAGAGAATAGCGTACCAGCAGTTAAGCCAAAGCGCAAGTACACCAAACGAAATCCGGCGGCTGTCAAGCCTCCTCAGGCTCCGGATGCTTCAGCAAGTGACGCACCGCCTAGGACGACCCCCCCTTACATCAGAAAAGCTCCTAAGAAGTCGCCAAAGCCGAAGGCTTCTCCTAAAAACCCCCCCAGGCCTCCCAAGGCAAAAATGGTACCTCCGGAAACATTCATTCCCAAGCCATCGCCCCCCCCGATGACAGCCTGTGCAGATGAGAGCATCCGAAATATTCTAAAACGTGTGAGTGCCCCCCCCTCCAAATGCCTTAAGCCAGTCAAATCAACTGAGTCATCTGAGCGGCAGCCCACCCCCCCCATACCAACAGCTCCATGTCCAGTCCCAACTGGACGGCCTTCTGCAGGTATCAGAGACGAAAAACAATGCACCAAGCTATGACAAGCCCTAACACAATACCATCTTTCCCACCAACAGAGCCATTGTCGACTGTACCCAGGAGAAGCTGGCCACCAGCACGTGTAGTTGCATCGGGACCCCCCCCAATGCCATCTTCAACAGTTCAAGTTAAAGTCAAGCAGGGAAAACTCCCGAAGGGGCAAGCTATGCCAATGGAGCCCAATGAACGTAGTACACTACCCCAGCAATCGACTCCAGCCCCAGCTGGACAGCCTATCTTACCTACTATACCTAAGAAGAGGCGAGCATCAAACCGTCAGAACCCCACAGAAACTAATACATTAGTTCAGGAATCGTATCCACAGCCAGCTTCCGATATAATCCCAACTGGACCACAACCAGCTCCCGAACTCCCAATTGAACAGCCTATTGCATCTAAAAAAAGACGAGTATCAAATTGTCTATCTGTGGAAGGAACTAATGCAAAGCCGCACACTTTACCCCAGTAGGAACAACCATCAATGGATCAACTTCTAGCAGCGATTCCATCAGTGCTGCAGATGCCCACCGCTTCAATGGTACCACCCCAAAGTAATTGACAAGATCGTGTAGGAGCCTCAACCACTAATAATTCGAACAGCATATATTATCAATACATAGAACATAACTTTTATTTGATCGTTAAGACAAAATTCATTGGTATTCGTCATCTTTAAAACTATTGATAATATAGTGTGTTGAACATTACGCACTGCAAATAAAACATGCTGTTACAAATTATTAGTGGTTGGGGCTCGTAGTGGAAGTACAAATAACCCAAATCGGCTCTCCTCTCTCTGACATCAACACCTACTGACTCAAGAACAGAAAACATCATTGAGTTACCGAACAAGACGCCTAAAGCAATGTGCCACAAGAAACACATCGCTTACAAAGTGAGTCAAGTAATCAGAAATGGATACCCGGTTTGGATAAATAAATCAAGAGACTGCTTTCATGTTCAAATGTAAATTCAAAATTACTTCTAATAAAACCTACAGAAGTAAATATAAGAGTGTACTCACTACTTCCCATTAATAGAATAACGGGGTTTTACAATGTACCGCTAACAATTGATTCGATATTTCGACTTTCAATGATTTTTCGAAAGTCCATTTCTAGTACCTGCGATTGTTTCTTATCGATATATACCAGCTACTCGCGGGGCGAATGGCAGCACTTTAAAAATATCGTTAGAATTCTACAAACGTTTAAGGGCAGGCATATTCTTGGCATTAGAAATAATAGAAGCCGCGCTATAACAAAATCAATGTTAATTTGTTGTTTCTTGAAAATTGAATGAATATATTTACTCATTTATTGCATACATATTTAAAACAGCGCAATGTTCATACATATGTATGTATTTTTATATTTACCGTTGCCTTGAACCTGAATGTTTGCGAATGTTACGTTGATTTGAGTGTTTAACTATAACTATTTTGCTATTACACACTTAAGTCAAAACTATATATGCATACACATATATTTATGTACATATATAGATTTGTATAATCACTTAAATTCGAATGTGTGTACAATTACGCGGCACGCAACAAGAAAAGCACGCTTTTGTTTCGGCCCGCAAACTCATCCAACGCCATTTTATGAAAAGTGTGACCATGCAATAAAAAGCTCAAATTCGCAAAATTTGAAAGCAATAGCTACAATAAACTTGAATGAATAGTGTGTCGTCACATGAAAATAGATTATTAACTACTTTTCAAAATTTTACTTTATTTATTATTCATCAGTCGCTTCAGTTCATTTCATTAGCCCGCTAAACGCATGACCATGCATTATTAGCCAAGAAATCGCATAATTTCAGCACACATCAAACGACATTTGAATCGGGAAATTGACGGAGTTTCATTATTCAAACTCGATGTACAAATTTGTCAGATAAGTTATATTTAATTACAATATGTGTATATGCTACTCCTTTTCTGAGCTCTCCATCACTTCTTCCGCCTCGTCATTCTTTTGCTCGGCAGCATCGCCCGCAGCCGCTGCTGCAGCAGCCGCGGCAGCGGCGGCCTCCTTCGCCTTCTCGTATTTGTTGACCTCAAATTTGCTGAGGTCGGCGCCCAGAAGGCGCAGAATGTGAATCGTCTCGTCACGATCGACATAGGCGCGCAGGCTGGAAGTGCCGCGCCAGCCCACAATGAACAGTGTAAACGCCTCGTCCACGTATTTCAGGATGCAGCTGCCCACGCCTGCAAAGCAAAGAGTAAGAAGCATGAGAGGAATGGCCTCACATAAAATATGAATCTAATTTACTTACCTAGCTCTTTGCAACGCTGCTGCGTCTCTGGCTTCAGCTCAAGCGTCGACGGCGGCTTCGTTGGATCCGTGCAGTTCAGCAGCAGGATCAGATCCTCGCGCTCCACCTGTATGCGCCTACTGCTGCCAATGAAGGCATTCGACGTCTGCAGACCCTCCTGGGCCAGGCGATACGGATGCACCGTATGACGATTTTCGCAACGCACAAACGTCTTCACGCCCGTATTGATGATCTTGATGTTGCTCTCGTTATTGATCACCAGATCTCTTATGGGGTCGGAGCAGTAGTAGATGTTCTTCTTGCGCTCCGTCTTGCAGCGAGTGAGCAGGCAGCGCTTGTTGAGCGTCTCATTCAGCTGGTAGAACTGCCGTATGCTCTCGTAGTCAGCATCATCCTCGTCAAAGAACACATACGGATCCTCTTTGTAGCCATGGAGGCGTCGGCGCTTCCGTTGTGGTCCCCACGGCACAGACTTCTCGTCTTCCACCGGCTTGCCCGACTCGTCGAGCTGAGCCTCCGGCTGCTCTGGTTTCTCCAGCAGTTCAGCCTTCTTCAGCAAATCCTCTAGGTCATTCTTCTCGAAGTTCAGCGGACGCCGCTTCTCGATGACGGCCACAAAAAAGCCGCCACTGTCCTGCAAGTGGGGCAGTACCCGCATGCACTTCTCTATGCCGATTTGGGACATCTCCGCGGCGGGCAGGGGAAACATCGTCGGCCGTATGATTGTGTGCAGCTGCTCGGGCACCTGGTCAAAGGAAGTGTAGATGGCGTCCACCTCCTTGGTGGCCAGCTTCCAGTCGGTCATGCCCGGCTTATATTTGAGACCCGGCACCAGATGCGAGGCATCCACCAGCTCCAAAGCTCCCTCCGAATCCTTGATGATACGCTGCAGCACCGCCTCATTCTCTATGGGATTCAGCGAGCAAGTGGAATACACCAAGCGTCCACCGACGGCCAGCATCTCAGCGCCTCGGCGCACGATTCTATACTGAACTCCGTGCAGATTGTAGGCCTGAGCCAGGTTCCACTTCATCCAGATGTCCGGATTCTTCCGCAGCGTGCCATCGCCGGAGCAGGGCACGTCACACAGGATCTTATCAAACTTCAGGATGGTCTTGGCGTTGGTGGCTACATCCGTTTGCAGCAGATTGGGAAAGAAGCTGCTGTCGTGGTTGGTCACCAGCAGACAGGGGGAATTCAGGCGTTTAGCCTGGTGGACCAGCATATAGCAGCGATTGTTGTCCACATCGTTGGCCAGCACGAACCCGGGAGGAATTTTGTGCTGCTCCGGCGACGCGTGTAGGGCTTCGATGAGCTGTGCCGTCTTTGAGCCAGGCGCGGCGCACATGTCCAGCACCTTGTCCGTTGGCTGAACGTCGAGCACCAGGGGCGGAATCATGGACACCGCTTCCTGACGACTTATGCTACCCGCCGTTGTCTCCACAATGAGAAAGTTGTGCAGCCGAAACAGCGGCTCCGAGCGGCGAATGTCCTTCCGAGTCAAGTGCAGCTGATAGGCCATTCCGTTTGGATACCAGGGCAGGCAGAGGGGGCGCTCCACCTGCTCGGCGGGCAGCTCGTGCAGTTCGGCCACAGCGCGCACATACTCGGTGAAGAGCTGCGTCTTAATTATGTTCAGCAACGCCTTGGCTTCATCCTTGAAGCCGGTTACACGAAATGTGGTGGGCAGATTTTCCCGAATGCTGGCCAAGAATTGTGTCCATTCCTCCTCGTCGGCACAGATGTTCTGCAGGTGATAGTACTTAATGAAGGCCGCATTGTCACGCTCGATTTCCTTGTAGGGCTCGGCACGTCGATCCGGTCGCTCCGGAGCACCCTTCGAGGTGACGAAAACAAAAAGAAAATGTATTCAACAAGTTCGACTTACAGCTTTACTTAAATAATTGCTTACATTTGCACGCTTTTGTCGTTTTCTAGCTGCAAATGGATTCTGTTTCTTGCCACGCGCCATTGAGCTAGTATCTGCTATTATTCACTTCTATTTCTTCTGAATATTTAAGCAGAATTAATAGCTCCTAGAATTCCGTGCTTTGTGTTTATACAATGAGCCGGCAACACGTGTTTGACTGCTGTCTGGCAGCACCTATCAACTATCGGGCAGACAATTTAGCGATAGATTAGCTATCGATATGTGGCAGAGGACACGGCTGGAGCATGAAAAACTTATCTGAAAGATTAAAAAACTATATATGTATAAAACAAGAACAATAAAAAGATGTATCCTAAATTGTTTAATGATTAACATTATTATTCATTATTTCGTTGTATTGAATACCGTGCATATATGTATTTCAATATTAAATTTCAATTTATTGAAGGTATTCATATTTGCCATGCTCATTTATATAGACAAGATAATAAAAATATTTTGTCTTATTATCTTAGTATTATATTTTTGAATACTCAAATAGAACAGCATTGACAGTTTAATACGATASCTAACTGCCTATCGATAACGTCGGGAGTTTGTCGACAGTAGTGCTGCAAAAAAATCGATATTCCGTAATATCGATATTCACGATATTTTCAGAGAAAAAGATCGATAAAAACGATATATCGAACACTTCTTTTAAATGTTAATTTTCTTGCTTAGAATCTATTATAATATTTATATTAATTATGACTTCTTAATGGATAAAATGGCAACCATTTCAAGATTAAAATAAAAGCAACAGCATCAAACAAAAACAAATTTATTCAACCGAACAAAGTCGTATAACNCTTTGCTAAACATCCTCTCGCTCTCAGAGGACGTTGCCTCATATTTTTTATTTACGAAGTGCAAAATGCTACCGGACTTGGGTGCCAATTCACTCTCTTGCAGCGATGGATGCATGCGTGTTAAGTGATTTTTAAGGCTTGTGGTATTTCCATTTGTTTTGCAGACCTTAAAGCAATTTCTGCACACCGCACCATCCTTTCCTTTTTCAAAATATTTCCACACTTCGGATTTTTTGGGGCTCCCACGGTCTTATTTTCTTCATCGGAGTCCACCCTCGCCGCGCCTAAAACACACAAGCTATGATTCCAAGCTTTTCCAATAGGATATATCAATTGTACTTACGTTTTCTTCCCAAAAACTGATCAATTTTTTTTCTTTCTATCGCAATTAAATTAAATCAATCAATTTGTATACAATTTAGCAAAATTAAATAAATGCGCTTCTTACACAGTTAAAACCAACGCCAAGAATAACCATTTTTTCGATATATCGATACTAAGAAAACCATATCGATCTTTTGCCAAAATTCGAAAATATCGATTATAACGATTCCGATCCGATATTTTTGCAGCACTAGTCGACAGTAAGCAAGTTGTGCTTTTCAAATACAAACACACTCACAAAAGTATAAAAAATTTAATTTTGTTTTTGAATAGAAGCTACATACATACATATATACAATGACAACAGAAAATAGTACAAACAATGGCCTCGAAGATGTCCAGTATCTGCTGCATCTAGAATCTCTCAAGCGCTACACAGAGCAGGCCAAAAATATGCACCGTCAAACCGAAGAGCATGCGCGCCATTTTGTCGAAGCCAAACGGGAATATCAGCGGGAATACACAAGCCTGGTTAGCTTGAGCAAAAATGTAGACCTGCGCGAGCTACTCGAAGCGAAGAGCTCTGAGATAGCCGCTGCGCGTGTGGCAAGTCTACCCGCTCAGCTAGAAGAAGTAAGCACCGCCCTTTCCAGTGAAAAGCGACCCACCGAATTGGATAACCAGATTCTGGAAGAGTGCAAGCAGCAGCTGGAAAGCCATCATCGACCGCGCAACAAACTCTCGAATCAACACAAATTCACCAAGAACCGAGAAGCGTTTAAATCGCTGCACACCATGATCCAGAATGTGGAAAATGGATTTCAGCTCTCTACATTGGCGGCAATGGATCAAATGATCGCCGATCCGCCGAATCAATAATATGCAATCAATTAACTATTTGTTCATTGCATACAGTTAGTACCTTCAAGTAGCATAAATATGTGTCTGTATAATATATACTCGTGCATAGGTATAAAATACAAAATAAAAATATACATGTTAGTCCCTCCGCAAGAGATCGTTTTTGGGCAGCTCTGAATATTCGATATCAATATGCTTATCGATGATCGATAATCTTTGCCATCGTTGAAATCGAGTTTTAATTTAAAAAAAAAAAAAAAAAAAATGCAATAGGTTGTTTGATAGGAAACATTCTTACAATACTAAAAGACGACTATCCAATCACGGATATTAAAGATATACAGATATATTTACATACATTTGTATAATCCATTGTATTTGGAAGCCCTTAAGGGGCCCATCCACTTATGACAGCACTGTCGCGAAGAATAGAAATGTTTATATTTTACGCGTGTTCGTGCGAACATGTTCGACAAATTGGTTGGCATGCTCGCACGAACGTCATTTGAAAAAATATTTGTGAAATCAACACGTGCCAAATGAACAAAGCATTTCTAGAGAAATTCATTAAATCTTTTAAAAATGAACCATGCTTGTGGCAAAAAAAAAAAACGCTAGTTACAAGGACAAGAATAAGAGAACCAAATCTTGGGAAACGCTTGTTCGAAAATACAAAGAACATGATGAAAGCGCAACGGTGCAGTCAGTAAAAAAAAAAGTGAATTCTCTGCGTGCGGCCTATCGGCGTGAGCTGCAAAAAATAAGATGAAGCATCTATCGTTCCTTCAAGATCAGGAATCTTTCGTGGATGGTATAAATACGTTTGACGATGAAGATTCAAGCTTCGTAGAAGTTGCAAAAGCAACGGTAAGTAATGTTGAATATAATTATTATCTATTATAAAATGTCTAGAGATTAATATCGAATTTAAAGTCGATCCTTTTGCCAAGACACTGCTTCTTCATTATTAAAAATCGAAATTCGAATTCTGTTGGTCAAAATGCCAAAAGTATTTTCAACAACGCGACGAGCTCTTGAGCTCGTTCAACTACATAGGTACACACGATGCAAACAATCTGCAGCATGTTGATTGCTGCAATCAAATTTGCACGTTTTAACACGCGTGCAAAAATTTTGCTGCAAACAAAAAATTTGCAATAACTGTTTGCGGCAACTTTTTTTTGCTTGTCGTCTGAATACAGAATTTTACCGTTAACTTGGTTGCGTCAGTAGTTGCTTGATTGTTTGCATGTGCTGTTTGCTTTCAGTCGCAATATTGCAGCAAGCAAAGCAAAATGTGGGATCGCAAGAAAACGATTGAATTAATTGAATTGTACGAGAGTTTTGCAGTTTTATGGGATGTTTCGTCAGCTGATTATAAAAATAAGTATAAAAAGCAGAATGCTTATCGCCAAATTGCTGAAAAATTAAACAAAAGTGATGATGAAATCAAAACAAAAATTCATCATTTGCGCACTCAATTTTTGCAAGAGGTGCGCAGAGTGAAGCAAAAAAAGAGTGACCAGGCTACATCGGAGAATTATACCAGCAAATGGGAGTTTTTCGATGCGCTTAAATTCATTAAAAATGACGACGGAAATAATTATAAAATTCAAAATATTGTAAGTAATACAATTTATTGAAAATATCCGAGTAATTGCTTATTTATATTGTCATGACACTCAGGCGACTCAAAAATGTTTAAATTCTTCGAATATCTTTTGCTTCAGTAGAGTTTTGCGTACTTCCTTCAATTGGTATGCAGTTTCCTGGTACCTGGTACCAGACAACAGAACTTGCAACTAAATGTCACTTGCAAGCAATGCAAAAAAAAAAAACACGTTTAGACATTGACGCAATATACTGCACGAAATAGCCATGCAAAAGTTTGCGTGCAAAGCAAAAATTGATTGAAGCAAGTAATTTACATGTGTTGTATCGTGTGTACCTAGCTTTATAGTTGTAATAGACGAATTCGACAGATGGCGAAATTCCCTCCACTGACTTTCAAAGCTTATTGCAATTTCCTTCCTATTTAGTCCTCTTCATTAGCAGGCATCTGAAAGATGATTGATTAATTAATATGTATGTAACACTTTCAGAGCAAACCAAAGAAGCGAAAGAGTGCTGACAGCAATGAGTTCCTGGCAAAAGCGATGAAACATTCGGACAATGCTAAGGAAAAAGATGTCGCTGACATATATGCAGAATCCTGGGCCGCAACATTCAGGCAGTTGCCAGCGGATCAGCAAATTTTTGCCAGAAAGGGGATTGAGGAACTGCTATTCCAAGGCCAACTGGGTATGCTGACGTTTGAAAGCGTAGCTCAACGTGAATACCAATCTAGCACACCAGATACTGCTAGACCAATCCCTTCAGTTGTATATCATCGGGGCAGCGTTAATAATATGTCTACATGTCTCAATTACACTTTGGCCAACACTTTGCGGAGAAATTCCAGTTGAAAATTTCAAGTCCTCATGATTGTCAGCAAAGTTGCTGAAAGCCTTTCATGTGGCGAGGGAGTGTCCTGTCGTTTAATTTTAGGTCCTACTAAACTTTGCCATTCCTCAAAGGTTTCCCCATACATTCGAAGAAAATTCTTCAAGTCCAGGTGGGACGTTTCGTACAGCTCTTTTAACAATTTTGTGTGAGTGAATTTTCCTCGCTTTGCGTACCACTCTTTCATCCACATATTATGCTTTCTTTTATTTTTTTATTTTTAAGTAAACATTTATTGCCATTAGGGCAACGATTTTATTTCGCTCCTCAGACACGTTTCCCTTTGAAAAATTTTATAAAATGTTGTTCGGCCAACAATGTTGCAATGATTGTGTTCGGCAAACATGTTCGCAAGTGGGTGGGCCCCTTTACTCTTTCCAATGAGCAAAGTGTGGAAGAAAGGAGACAGCAGCTGCAAACTAAAAATAATCGATAACATATCAATCAACTATCGAGAAGTGATTCCCGCCCTGGCCAAAGATGAGAATAAATAAATCTAATAATTTGGTGTCAACTGTTTCCATAACAGATTTATATAGATATATATATTTGTAATATATGATAATAATAAAAAAATAAAAATAAAATAAAAACTATAAGGAACATAATATTTTAATTCTATGATAAATGCTGATGTGCAAGCCACAAACGCATTTATTGTACTTTCGGTGGGGTTAAATGATTAATTTAGCGAATAAGCGCGGGCGCAGGCAGGCGGCTGAGCGTATTCTAGGAGAGAGAGAGAGTTGTCAGGGATTAGCGTGTTAGCCTAGCACGAAGCAGCGGCGAGACTTTAGTTACCACTTGGAGCGCTTGGACCAATCCTTGGGGGTCCAGTGCAGGCACTTGGAGTCGATACGAATCTTGCGCTTCTGCATGGCGCGCTGATGCTGTTCAATAGTCTCGCGCCCAATGCAGACAATGTACTGACCCTTGTAGTAGTTGATCAGATTCAGATTCTGCAAAGTGGAGATCACGTCCTCCTTCTTAATAGAGGTGCACTCACAGATGTCGCTGGAAGCACAGCAAATGAAATTACAAAAGTGAATAATCGGAATAGATAAATATATAACATGGCAAATACTTGATGGTTATGGTGGGCTTCTCGCCATCTGTGCCAGAGTTCTGGCTAATCAGTATCTCCAGTATGGTCTGGGCCCAGTAGGAGCGATAGGAGAGCAAGCCCAAGTCGGAAAGCGGCTTCTCCGGCGAGCCGGTCTTGCCCTCGAACTTGGACAGCTCATAGCTGAACTCGATGAGAAGCTTGCCGTAACCCTTGCGCTGATATGGCGGCATGGTCAAGATACATGCCACGTTGTAGTCCTCGGTGCTCTCCTTCTCCTTGGAGAAGTAGCCAACAATATGAAAGCCGCGCGAGTCAAACTCGGTCATGATGTAGAACAAGAACGGATCTGTGTCATAGTAGAGCGTCTTGTGGTCTAAGAATAGCTTGGCCAACAGGCAAAGGTTCTGAGCGTAGAACTTGTTCTTGCGCCCGTCGATCTCGAAAAACGAGATTGTGTTCTTGCGATAGATCTCGTTGCCCGGTGGGTGGCGGAGGTTGCACTTGGACAAGTGGCGCTCCAGGCACTTGCGGCTCTTGCAGTACTTCAGGCAGAACTCGCAGATGTAAATGCAGCTCTGCTGGCACAGCTCTTGCGGATACGGCGAGAAGTACCAGGGTTTGATGCGGTGGCGCCCAAGCTCGATCATCTCTACATTCTTCATGCGCGTGACCACGTCATCCTGGTGAGTGACCATGCTGCCCGACTGACGGGGCGTTGCCATCTTGCCGTCCTGCGAGGCGTCGTCGTTCCCAGCAGCTGTAGCCCCGGCCAGAGGAGTTGCGGGCAGCAATCCGCCATCGCCTGTCACGTGAACAGGCGTCTGTGGAGTCTGAGGCGTCTGTGGCAGCTGCTGCTGCGACTGCGCCTGTTGCTGCTGCTGCAGCGACTGCGAATGATGTGCCCCGTGCACCTTGCGACGACGATTGATGCGCTTCTGCAGCGCAGCAGCTAGCACATTGTTGCCATTGACCAGCTCAGTGCCGCTATTGTTGGCCATGGAGCCGCCAGAGCCAGCGATGGTGCCGCCCAGGCCGCTGGCGTGCTGCGGCTGCGGTGATGTCGGGCGCGACACACTGCCAGCCAGCGAATGATGGCGCTTGGGCGTGGTGACGCCCGTGCTGGTGCCAGTTTGCGGCCCGTCGCGCCGTGGAAACTGCACCTTGCGCGTGTCCAAGTCATCCTCGTTGACCCACTCGTCCAGACGCTTGTTAACTGTGCAGGCGTCGCAATGTTCACTTACAATTAATGCTATTTGTTATTGTTGTTTACTTACAGTCCACATAGTGCACATAGAACTGACGCTTCCCGTCCTGCTCTTTGATGCTCACAATCTCGGCCAGGGGCCAATCATCGGTCTTGTGCATGCGCACGGACAGACGACAGCCCTCGGTCAAGGCGGCCTGTTATAAACATCAACAATTATTATAATTGAAATGCAACAAAAAAGAAAATATAAAAAAATATCGCGCACAAAATGCAAAATGGTGCGCAGGTTAGAGCGAGAGGGCTATACTTGGCAGTTTCATTTGCACTCTATTTGAGTACTATGGTCAGTTGTTTGATAATTACCGTCGATTCACAAATTGATGAAACATCATCGTCGAATTCGTATTTGGTCTTCATGTCGTTATATTCATAGAAATTCAGAATTGTATTTCAATTATTCGTAAAACACACCGAACAGCAAGTCAGCCAGGATCAAAGTGACGCCCGGTTATCGATAGTGCCTTTGACTCGGCTAAGCTATCGATCTATCGCTTTATAGCAATTCGAGTGAAATTTTCTATTCGTTATCGATACTAGAAAAATAAATACGAAATTCAACAAAGTAGACTTTTTTATAAGAGCTTCGTTTCAGTCTTACAAGTTAAAGCAGTTGATACAATTTTTAAAATCTTAATATCGGAGTCTGCGGAGCGGAGCGTCAATGCCTAGAGTTGTATTACGGCTATCGCTATCGCGCAAGTATTCGATTACCTCATATGTCGCCAATAGTGCTGTGAAAGACCTGCGAAAGTGTTGTAAAGCAAAACAACTGCGCTCTAAAGTGTTCGTTCTTTTCAGAATTTTTACGTTTCATGTGTAATTAAACAAAAATATCAAAGTTGTGCATTTAAATTATAAACATATGATGAATTGTTAACGTTATCGATGCTTGTGTGTGCTTACGCTGGTCCGTCTACAGCAATATATGTATTTTTTTCGCTATGTGTAAGAGAAGGTCAGAAAAATGTACACACATACATATGTGTAGTGGAAGGTGCATAAGCAAGTGCGTGTGCGTGTGTGTATGCGAGTGTTTGTGTGCATTGCGTATGTATCAGAAGAAAAAACAATTCGCTAAGCGTTTAACAACAAATTAAAAGTGCAAAGTAAGCACTGTTTGTACATATATGAGCTCATTTGTGTATGTGTACATCTGTATTTGTCGATACATATACAGAATGTAATATGCATGTGTGTGTGAGCGCGCATCGTATGTGTAGCGGTGCTCATGCTAATAGAACGTATTTGTAAATTGCTACAACAACAAAAACTGTGTGGCAAAATGACGTGTTTGCGCTAGTGTTGCCACTGACAACAGAATGCCAGGGCTGCCAACGCGTGTGCAAGCAACTTTCCAACTTCCAAGCGGCAATTGGCAATTCATAAACACATTGTGATCTGCCTATAAAAGCATTTAATGTTAACGCACGCCCAAAATATTCGATAATTTAAATATCTAGTCAGTAAGAAGTGTGCGAGTGTGTGTGCCAAAAATAACATCGGCAACGAGATATGACCGTATGTAAATTTCGCTTTGCATCTAGAGATGAGAGGCATGTGAATATCGCACATCTCTATTTGGCAACACTGCGCGGCTTTGCAAGCAAATGATTTTTTTGACAAGTCGCATTTCTTTTATTAAATCTATATATTTTTTTTCTGTTATTTTGCTTTAATGTTTGGTGATGTGTAGACGCAGTGTCGGCGATGTGAGTCTTTCCAATCCAAATGGTAGTGACAAGGTTGCTCCGCTTTAAAGCAATTTAACTGGTTGCCTTCGATTGACGGACTGACAACTGCACCAAAGCGAAAAAATCAACAATTCAACTAACAAGGAGAGATAATAAGAGAACGAGCAGAGAAAAAAAGCATAAAATCGTAAAATCAGCAAAATCAACACAAACAACTACAGTGCGTAGGCAAGCGGCATTTGTACATCATTAAGTTTTACTAGAAAAACAAACAACAGTTCTACAGTTCATTTACGTTTTCAAATAAACAATAGTGACTATTGCGTGCGTATGAGAGAGAGAAAGAAAACGTAAGAAAAAACTTACGCCAGACATAAAACAACGCGAGTTGCAATTGGGCAACGTTCATTCAGGACAACCACAGCAACAACAACGAAAGTGAACGGAAGAGCGAGCTTAACAGCATTAACGGTGCCCTTCTGGGTGCCACTGGCTGCGGCGCTAACACGCGCGTCGGTGGCCTTGACAGCTGTTTTTCTAGGACATTGGGATCTGCAGAGCATATCCCACATCCCCTATTGGAAATCTACTTGGTAAGTAACCGTTAACTGGTAATTAGAAGTGTGAGGGAAAGAGAATGAAGAGTGGGCAATCGAGAGCGAGAGACAATTGCAGAGAGTGTGTTTATAAGCTCTATCGTAGTTTATACTCTCCTTTAATGCACACACATAAATTTGTGTTTGTAAATATATACATATATGTATGTATAAGTAGGTATGTGTATATATGTCCGTCATTTATTTTGTTGTTTTCTTTTTTGTATTGCCAGGTTTTATTTCGGAACTGACAACTGTCAATTGTGTATGTTTTTGTAATTTTAATGGCATTTCGTTGTTTGTTCGATGCCACAAAAGATGAACAATGAACAAATTGGTGTTTCATCAATATCATCATCAGCGACAACCTTATCATCATCCACAATATCCACATCTGCAACAGCAACAGCARCAGCAGCAGCAACTGCAACAGCAAGTGCAACTGCATCTGCTAGCAATAGCAGCGCAGCAGCTGCGCAACTCATCAAGGCCATATCAACAGGCAGCGCCGCCAGTGTCGTCGCCGGCAACGCCAAGGACAAAGATAGCAATATTGCCACATTGGTAACGAAAATCCAGGCTATTATTCCTGACACGCCAATCGTTTCGATTGCCGCCGGGACGTTGAGTGAGAGTACCTCGACCACCACATCGACTAAGACGACGCCGACGCCCTACTTCCAGGAGCAGCTAACCACCTTGATGTCGCACAATGTAAAGCTGGAGCAGCGACCCGCCAACGATCTGTCCAACAACACCAACAGCAGCAGCAACAATAGCAACAGCAACAACAGTAACAGTAGTCCATCGGCGGCTGTCGTTGATCTTAGCCAGAATCATGTGGCGGCTGTTGATAAGAGAAGCAACAGTAGCAGCGAGGGTGGTGCCGGCAGCGCTGCCAGCCAGGACAGCGCTGCAAATACGGTACACCATAATTTAAAATTGACGCCGCTGCTAAGTAAATCGGAGCAGCCTGCGTCAGATGTGATTGCCGCGGCAACTTCGCTGCATCATCGACGCGGCGCCACCACCAAAGGTAAAACCCAGGATGACCAATATGTGGGCAAGCGTCAAAAGAATAAAAGGGTAAGCTATGCTCTATATAAGCAATAAATGTATGTATGTATACAAACAAACAAATAAGCATGTACATACATAAATGTATCGAAAATCCTGGTAGAGATTCAAATAATTGGAGTCAAATTATAGCGGGCAACGGCTAATTTCATAATGACATTGAAATTCACGTAAATCAATTTTGTTGTTCTCTTTTACTTTTTCTACCTACTGTAAATTTCCTTTTCCGTTTTGTTGCCCTATTTTCTGAACTTAACTTCATTTTCTTCCCTCTATTTGTTTTTGTTTATTAGATTAATTTCGTTCACTGTTGATTTCCACAAGAATTTGCGACTCTGTCTCTGTGTGTGTGTATGTGTGTTATGGCTCGATCGTTTCCAGCGGACATTTGCAATTATTTTGTACACGCACAAAATACGTACACACATGCATACATATGCCTGTATGTATGTCCATAGTGATGTACATATGTATGTATGTATGTATATTGCTCGACTGTCGTACATATGAATATATGTATATGTATGTATACAGATATTTCTGTTTGAAAGATTTTTAAATTACATATCCAATAAAAATCGCACAAACATTCTATAAATATCGACATCAAAACTAACAACATGTGCAGAGACTCATACATGTACATACATACTGTGTATATGGAAATATGTATGTATGTATATGCCTACACACGTACATAGATCATATTTGTGTACATATAAAATATTGTATATTGCTAAAAAAAAAAAAAAAAAAAAAAAAAGTTATTTAGTCAACATACACAAATTGATGGAGAGAGAGAACTATAAACTTAATTAATAGCAACACAATCATTCATTTCGTTAGTTCGTTTCGATATTTATCTCGTATTGTCTCTTATTGAACGTCTCTGTTCTGGCGCTCAGTAACGTGCTTCGCGCAAATGCTGCGCATTACAGCGTAATAGAAAAAGAAACCGTTACTTTAGTTGGGACATTCTGTTGTCTGGGAGCAGGCAACAACGACAATAACAGCGGCAGCAATGACCACAAGAAAAAGATCGCAATTAGCAGAAGGGGCATTTTTCATTTCATTTGCGTACGCTGTTCGCCTGGAATGGTTTTGGAGAAATGCCGTTATCTATCAGCTCCTTCCATTCCATACACTCGCACACATTCACGCAATTTTGTTTTGTGACTGTGGCGTGCCTTAGTGTAATGCAATTTTGCAGATCGGCAGGCCGAACGCGTTTCATATCGCATTGATCAATTTTTGGTTTATTTTATTTGATAAATTCAATTTCTTGTATCTCTCTCGCTTTTATTTTAATAGTTTTTGTTTTTGTGTTGTTTTTTTCGAGTTTGTTGAGAAAACCAAACCACAATTGTATGAACCTATCGTCAAACGTTTTGTTCTGTGGCGCCGCCGCAGCCGCCGCATTAGAGCTAACCACACGCATTTAAATTTGTTGTGTTTAATTTATTTTATTTATTGCACTCGTGTGTGTTGTGTGTGTGCGCCTTCTGTGACTTGAGCCTGACATATCTACATAAAACGTACATATATGTACTAATATATGTACATACGTACATAGGTAGCTGTTCGTGTATGTGTTCACGCACAACTATAAAAACTGTAGCCCAAGTGCGTTGTGTGTTAGAATTATTAACCAAAGCAAAGTGTTGCAGCGTCAAGACGCGGGCTCAACCTGAAATTGTAGTCAAAGCTGCAAGCCCGGCCGCGCGCTACATTTCCAGGTACTACACCCCTGATCACCAACATACTTCCAGTAAATACCGTTGCTTTGGCACTAGCTCAGTGCTGTTGAGGTTATGGACGAATAACGAAGCACGATTTAATAATTGTTTCAACTAATTTGCAGACAAAGTACGATCCTTGGGAGGATAGCGAAATAAATGATCTCGACGACGCATCGTTGAAGAAATTGCTCGAGGAGGCCTATTGGTATCGCAGCCCTGGCGACAGGAAAAACAAAAGCGAGCGGTTTCTGGTAAGCAGTTGATTAGCTCCAAGTAGATCACAATGTTAATGCATTTCTGCATATTGTTTATAGCAAATGCTTAAGAAGGCTGAGTACGACGAGGAGAACTCTTATCGTCGTGTCATTAAAAACTGCTTAACTCGCAACACGTCCGCATCATCATCATCAACGTCCAGCGGCTATTATGGCCACAGCAGTAGTGTAGGCAGCGGCGGCAGCAACTTCGGTGCGCACAATAGCAGCAACAGCAACAACAATACCTATAGCAGCAGCAGCGGCTATCATAGCAGCAACCATCGGACGGCATCACAGCGTCATAGGCAGTTCGGCTCTTTGCAGGATTTAGTCGAGGCGACGCATCGCAGCGAGCTGGCAACGACGTCAGCGGCGGCGGCGGCGGCAGCGGCAGCAACCCAACGTTTCAACTGTGATTATCAGCTGAGTGGCGCCAGCGGCAGCAGCAGCAACGCTCGAGCCAATCGACGCCAACAGCACAACAACAACAATAACAATAGCAACAGCAACAACAATAGCAACAACCAAAACGCCACTCTGGTCCTGAAGAAGTTCAAGATCAACTCAAACTCGTCTGTGTCGKCGCGACAGCGCGAAGGTGGCAGTTTGCCCAGCAGCGTCAACTTTGAGGCCAACATGGATATTAAGCAGAAGCTGACCGTTGGCGAGCAGATGGTGCTCAGCAGTGTCAATGCCAGTGGCAACAATCACAACAAAAACAATCGCAACAGCAACAGCAACAGTAACAGCAGCAGCAACAACAACAGCAACAGCCTGCCCAGTCAGCTGAATGAGACTGGCAACATGGTCGTGCAGTTCGATCAGGATGGCGTGGCCATCGATGTCGCTGGCGGCCAAATATATGAGCAGGAGGTAAGGAATAGGTGTATGTGGGAGTTCAATATGAATGCAACAAATTCTTATATAAGCTTATTCAACAACAACAACACCAACAACAACAACAGCAAACACAAACACAAACATTTGCTTAACTATCCATATAAGACCGTATCAATCCATTTGTCAATATTGGTTGAGGGCCTGAACTGACTGCCAAAGACATAATCATCACCATCACCTGTCTCTCTTTCTCTCTCTCTCTCTCTCCCTCTCTCTCTCTCTATCTCTCATAGTTGTAGTTTGTTGCAGGAGCTGGGAGTCACTCATTCATTTGTCTAAGGGCTGCCTACAGAGAGATTTCCATTAGAGTATTAATCAAATCAATTCAAGTTCACCCTTTGTTCTCATCATCACATATCTCACTTGCCTAACCAAAATATCCAAAATATTTCCCAAAAGACACAAAATTTTAACCTAAATGTTGTTTATTCTATGCGTTGTTCTGCTCTTGCTCTAACACTATCATTAACAATTAACAATTAACAATTCACATCAATCATGATTGAAGGTTGTCGGTAAAATCGGTTTGTGTGTGTGTGTGTATGTGTGTGAAGTTGAGGTGAATGTAAAAAAAAAAGAAGAAAAACAAAACAAAGATTAAGCGCGTTTTAAGAACTGGGCAATATTTACAATTCAATCAAGAAACAAGCGTTACAACAACAACAACAATATATATATTAAACTTTGTGCAATTCTTTATTTCTTGTATAACCAAAATCGAAACAAAAATATAAACCACATAATATTGATAAAAAGGAGCTACATTTGGATGCGCAGCACAAGGATAAGCCTGAACAGCCGCTGGACACTCTCACTCAGCAGGTGCAGAAGCAACAACAGCAGCAACAGAAGCAGCTGTCCGATGCCATAGACTCGGGCGCTGTTAAAGAGTTCCTAATCGATGATCCGCTGCACTTTTTCATGCTGGAGCAGTCTGCCAAGCAGCAGCAACTGCGGCAACAGCAGCAGCCACAATACGCCGCTGCGCCGTCCAATGCTCCAGGTGCCAGTGGTGCTGGTGGCCCATTCACGCTCACTCTGGACGAGCACAAGCGCAAAGTGGAGGCCGGCTACGTTTCGCTCAATGACAGCTACACGGCGTGCTCTTCGGTCTACGGCGTCGGCAGCTCCACATCCTCGGGCGCCGCCGGCCACGATTCCGGCAATTCGGCTGATCTATTCGCTGGCTCCGATCTGCGTACGGCCAAAATTGGACACATGATGACCGCGGCGGCCACGGCAGCTGTCGCTGCCTCGCACAGCGCCAAGTCCACAACGGTAAGAAGCGGGCCTATCATATTGTAGATCTGCCCTGTACTTATTGGAATAAGCTGGGAGGACTGAATAGAAGCATTCAGCTAAACCATTAATACATAGTTGTCGTTTGTATGTCTGTATGTCTCTGTGTGCGTGATCGAGAGTGTGTCAACAGATTGTAAATATGCCCAGTACTTAACGGACGAGAGAGGGGTATGCACAGCCAATGCAATAGCCGATGGGTTCTTGGAACTGCCTACGCTGAGCTATTGACAGAGGCTTGACTCTGTCTCGCTGGCTGTAGAGCTGCACTCCAGTGCCCAGAGACTTGGCGAATTCCCTGTATATGTTGTCTATGAGGCATATTTGTTAGTTGTGTCTGTTGTGTCCGCCTTGGTGTATGTATTAGCATCGTTGCTTAGTGTGCGTTAAGATATCTGTAAATGGCTTCGAGTGTTTCGTACTGTGTCGAGACAGTTGCTATAGGAACTGCAGTTAAGCTAAGGCCATTGTAAATATACCCTATATAGGAGTGGGCAAGAGCAGCAAAATGCATTTGAATAGCATACACCGATTGCTGCTTGCCGTATTCCAAGAGTTTCTCCGTTTTGCGAAACACTCTGCATTTTATATTCGAAATTAGCTGTAATGTAATGCAATAATTTGAGACTAATTAATTGACATGTGATATATGTAATTAGTGGCATAACTAAACAATATGTCGCTCATGATATACAAAGAAACTTTGTTTAGCTATATATATATATACTATATAAGCTCCACACTCAACGGGAACTGCTGCACATTTTCTGCAGAAGCACTGCCTAGGAAAAGAACCGAGACTCCAGATCTGGCGGACAGCTGTTGACCAAGGCTCTTCTCATTCGAATTGATAAGTCAATGGCTCGGCCTCAGAACGTCAGTATATATTATATTACTTAATAATATCTGACAGAACGATATTGACCTATGGAATAGTTCTTCAGCCTCATGAACTCACTAACGGCGAAATACGTTCTATGGATATCCGTTTGATAAGGCTTATGTGTAGTATTTATAAAGACATCAACCCAACAGAGTCAGTTTGAATTGATTTGATACTAGGCAAGATCATTTGAAAAATTAAAAATATTGAAATCTGTCTATAGGAATATCTATCAATATGTTTTTGTATCCTGAATCTATTGTAAATGGCAATGGCAGACCCCAAAATGCATTTATGCATAAATATTCTTGATCTAGTCATGTCTGTTATTTCGAATAATGTATATGTATTGCTAATCCGTCATAATCGGTAGATATTAATCGTAATTTAATACCGATTAAAATGGCTTAGATGGATATTTCGGATGTCGAATGATTGGACAAGTTGAATCAGATCGGGAACATCATTTCTGAGTTTAGTTCGTCTATCTTCCTAGATCCTAATACATGTTTATTTATGGTAATGTGATTTGATCTCTGGTTTGATAAAGTCGACCTATACCCAGAGCTCCTACATATAAATCTAGTATTTCCCATATTCTTAGCACAGAAACCGTATATTATATATGTTCATATCTCCTATGTCATAATTAGGTTTCTATGCAGCTAAAAATAAACAAATGTAAATAGTCGTAATATTAGTGGAAACAATTATCGTTATTGGACATCCATTTGACAAATCACAAACAAGACGTACGAAAGAACGATCAAGCGAACAACAAACAAACAAACAAACGAACGACGTCCGTAATTAATAATAGTAATATGAGGATCGTATAACATGTGGAGTTGGCTGAATGATTCGATAGGAACAGAGCAGAGAGCACAAAGCATAGAGCCCACAACGCAACACAGTGAGAACACGCAGAACACACAGAACACACACAACGCACACCTGAAGATCGCACAACAAAGTTGAAATTGTTTTTAATTTTGTTTTGTTTTCCATATTTAGAATAAAAATTTTGTGAATCGCGAAGTAGGAAGAGAAGAAAAGCTTATAGAAATGAATGTGAAATTCTTGAAGCGTTGCAAAAACAAGCGAACGGTACATTATGCAAAATTAAGGCTGATGGTTAGTTAAGTTGTCTGGTTTAACGGCGCGTTAAACTCTTATTTCATAGATTAAATTGTGAGTTGATTACGATATTAATGATAATATTCGCCTATTGCCATTGCAGCGCCAGTTTGATGAGAACGGCAACGCCCTGAACGATGGCTACGCAGCCGTCGCCGCAGCAGCGGCGGCAATCGCTGCTGCAGGTGGCACCGGCAGCAGCAGCGGCAATGGCAACGGCAACGGCAACAGCAGCAGCAACAGCAATAGCAGCAGCAGCAGCAGCAGCTCCGCCGCCAATCAGTTCACGACCATGATTACAGGCAACAGCGGCGCTCAGCAGCACCAGCACCAGCAACAGCAACAGCTGCAGCATCATCAGCAGCGCTCGAACAGCGTTGGCGGAAACATGACGACACCGGCCATGGCATTTGCAGCTGTTTGTGCCACCTACAACCAGTTGCAGCAGACGCCCATGATTGGCGGCCCGCCGCAGCCACCCACCAAGCTCAAGGCGAAGAAGAAGTCGCAGCAGGAGCGGAACACCACCACGGTGGACGTGGAGTCCGTGGCTGGGTATCGCGGCAAGGATCCGGTCGAGCAGCTGGTCAAGTACATTGAGAACGACGGCGCCCAGCAGCAGCAGCAGAAGAAAAAGGAGCGCAAGAAGCAAAACAAGCTCAAGAAATGTAATTCGCTCGAAGAGCTGCGCAGCTGTGCGAAGATGGAGGTCGACGAGCTGAAGCGCCAGTCGGCAACCACTGAGATGATGCGCAACAAGAAGGGTGGCAAGCACAATTCCGCCTCCGTGGCGGACATCAATAAGAACTGCAACAAGGAACAGCAACAATCACAGCAGCAGCAGCAGCAGCAATCATCCCAGCAGCAACAGTCACAGCAGCAGCAGCAGCCATCGGTGCCACGCAAGGGCGAACGTCGCTCCTGGGGTACCGAGGAGCTGCAGTATTTGGGCGAGCCCGCGTTGAACGACAGCAACAACACCAGCGGCAACAACAGCAACTGCAGTGAGCCAGCAGCAGCAGCAGCAGCATCATCATCACAGATATCGATGACGAGCGGCACAATGCCATCGCTCGAGCTGCCCTCATTGGCGCGCATGTCGGAGATTGAGGCTCTCAATACGGTGCTGACTGAGACGGCCGAGTTCCACGTGGTCACCAAAAAGAAGAAACCAAAGAAGCAGCGCGCCGTTACTATGGACGATGCGGCCGTCGCGGCAGCTGCCACAACCGGCGGCAACTTACAGCGCATGCAACAGATCACAAAGTCGGCATCGTCCAATATGATGTCGCAACGCTTGCGCGGCAGCAACATGGACTATTATAACAACAACAGCAACAACAACAATTATTATGCTGCACACACCGGCTACAACAGCAGCAACAACAGCAACAAGCAGCAGCAGCAACAGGTGCAGCAGCAGCAGCAGCAACAACAACAACAACACGCCACAACAGCAACATCAGCAACTGCAGCTGCAGCTGCAGCTGCAACAGTTGTTGCTGGCACACAGGATAATTCACGTCGCAAGTCCACCTCGTCCATGCCGCCATCGGAGAAATCTGATTCAAGTGATCTCGACTCGGTGCACTCGCTGCCCATACAAACTGGCAAGAAGAAGAGCAGCAACAATAAGCGTTCAGCAGCCGCCGCACAGGCCAAACAGAATAACAATAACAACAACAATAACAATACCAATAAAAATCATAATAATGCGCCCATCTCGTATGCGGACATCGCCCGCAACAAGCGCGAGCAGCTGGCCGCCAGCGAGGACAATGATGCCGGACACGATGGCCAGGGCGCAACCTCAGGCTCATCCCTGTTGCTGCTGGACAACAACAACAGCAGCAGCAGCACGAACAACAGCAACAGCAGCAGCAAACAGCGCGCCGCCAAGTCAAAGGCGCGTCCCGACTTTCCAGAGCTGCCAAGCGCCATGGCCGCCAATATAACAACAGCAACAGCAGCGGGCGCTGCAACAGCAACAGCAGCCGCAACAGCCGCTGTGCTCATCAGCTACTCGCAGAGCCTGAGCAAATTGCTAGCGCACAGCAACAGCAGCGAGGCCGAGGAGCAGCAACAATTGCAGAGCTCAGCAGCTGTTGCGCCCACAGCAGCAGCAGCAGCAGCAGGAGCAGCAGCAGGAACAGCAGCAGCAGCAACATCATCAAACACAACAAATGCCACCTCGAATCAACAGCAGTCAGCGCCGCCAGCGCTGCAAAAGTCCAAGAGTGTCGAGCACGATGCCCGCGGCAACAGCAGCAGCAGCAGCTACAGCTTCAACAGCAGCAATCTGGACTTGCAGTATCCGGCGCTGGAGAAGACTGTGAAGCGGCACAGCGTCAACTATGTGTCGCTGCCTTCGGCCATCAGCAGCAACATTAATTTTGCTGCAGCTGCCAAGCAACAGCAGGAGAAGGAAAAGGAAAAGGAGAAGCTCAGCCAAGATGTGACGACAGCAGCAACAGCAGTAGCAACAGTTGCTGCTGCTACAGCAACTACCTCAGCCAAGGCTAAGAGCAAGCCAAAGGAACTATCACCTGGCAGCAGCAGCAGCTGCAACAGCAGCAGCAGCAGCAGCAGCAACAGCAGCAGCAGCAGCAAGAAGGAGAAGAAGCCTAGTCAGGAGGAGCAATCAACGTCGACGATGACGACGTCGCCGCCCATTAGCTTTAACACATGCTGCCACAACAACAAGGCAACTGCAGCCACGCAGACGGAGGTGGCCAAGAAGCACAGCAGCTGCAACACTGTGGCCGCTGGCGTGCAGACAGCATTGCCGGCGGGCAATAGACCCGCTGTGATTATACTCAACGATGATCGCGACTCGGCGCTGGGCAGGCTCAACAACGAGTTCATCTTTGGCGACTTCAATGAGGACGAGCTGAAGCTGTTCGACGACGCCAGCGACAAGGAGGAGTCGGACGAGAAGCCCCATCAGGTGGACAAGCAGCAGCAGACGACGCCGACAACAGCAACAGCAGCAACTGCAACAGATTCCAGCTGTGACCAACAGCAACAGCAGCAGCAGCAGCAGCAGCAGCAGCAAGAGCAACAACAGTTGCAGCTGCAGCTGCTTAACGATTCGGGCGCCGCCTCCGATTTGGTTAACAGTTCGGCCTGCATGGATATGCTGCTGATCTCAGGGCAGGCGGCACAGTCGTCGCCCAATGCCGCAGCCGCCAATAACAGCCCATCGACTTCGTCGACGCCATCCTCGTCGGCCTCTTGCTCCACCTCCGCCTCCTCGTCCACGCTGAGCAGCACCAGCAACGGCAACGGCAATGGCAATGGAAGTGGCAATGGCGGCAGCGCCGCCTTGCACTTGGCCAATCAGTCGAGCGACAGCGGCATCTATGGCACTGCCAACATATCGAATTCAGCTGCGGCCACCATCAAGGATCAGGTGAATAGTTTCCTAAGCAAGGCCAGCGCCGGCAACGCCAATGCCAATGCCAGCGGCAGCCACAGTCATAGCCATAGCAACAGCAGCAGTTGCAGCAGCTGCCAGGATGAGCCGCTGCCCATGCAACAGCTGGAGACATGCAACGATATCGAGGCAGCAATTATTGCAGCTGCCCGCGCCGCTGCTGCAGCGGCCTCGTCGCGCAGCGGCAGCTGCAGTCGCAGCAATTCACGCGAGCAGCCGGCGACAGTTGCTAACGCCAAGCCACGACCAGCTCTCTATGGCACCTACGGCCTGGGCAGTGGAGTGCATCCAGCAGCTGCTGCTGCTGCTGACAATGCTGTTGCTGCTGATCATCTCGATGGCGAGGACGAGGAGCAGCAGCTGCACGAGCTCAGCTTTATGTCTGATCTCAAAACGGAATTTGGGGCGACGCCCACACCGCTCCCATCATCATCAGCAACCACAACAACATCATCATCAACAACAAATATGTCCGCACCACCGTCACGTCAATGTCAAATGTCCAACACGGAGCTCATTGTGGACTACATCAGCAGCTGTAAGTCGAGCGAAAAGATCAATATTTATATAGGTGCACGATTAATCAGTTCATGAAACCCCATAGAACAAAGTCGTTCCTTAATAGAGTTGGTGTCAATCTACTTTATAGAGATTATAGACATGTTTGTATAGATGTGATTAAGACACATTGTAAATATGTAGAAGAATTTATTAGAAGAGATTAGTTATATTTATGATGATATATAGTGTTAGGATACATTATATACGATATTAGTTTTGCTTAGGAATGAGTTCCTCTTTGGATCAGTTCAGTTATAGATTGTCTAGGTGAGCATTGGCAAGGAAGATATAGTAGTTCATAGAAGTATTCTTCTGATATTCATAGTTATAGATATAGATATAGATATAGATATAGATATAGATATAGATATAGATATAGATATAGATATA